ACATACAAGTCACATTTAACTGGAAATGTGAACGACCTCGCAAAAACATCGGATTTCACCAAAAAGTCTGAATTGAGCATTAAGCCCTGCAGTCTGAACGTAGCCTAAGTGTTTTCCCTGTATGTGCCTGGGCCCGGGGAAAGAAATAAGCTTCAGTGGGCACTTTGAGCGCCACTTCACAAGGAAAACACAAGCAAAGACAAAAAAGAACTCATCTACCTTAAAACTCAAACTCCGACTCCTTCACGTGATAGTGCAGCCCTTTACTACATAAGCTGAACAGGAGAACATCGACAAAGTACAACAGCACAACTAAAGTACAACAGAAAAACAGTGTCTTATACCTGTAGTGTGATCAGTGATGCATTCATCTTACTTCTCATATTACTCATAAAAAAGAACTCAAAAGTAAAACTCATGAAAACACTGTATTCAGCTAGAAAGAATACAGACATAACCAGGAGGAGGTGAGTTTCAAACCTCGGCCTCCCACATCCTAAACACCATGAGCTAATCTTTTTGAGTTGGTGAAAAACAAACAAACAAACAAACAAAAAAAAAACATGACCAACCTGTAGCCACATTATACACCGCACTGTAGAAGGGGGATTTGAACCCACGTCCCCCCTCCCCACACATTATACATATATTAGATTACACACACTATAGGAGGAGGATTTAAACCCTGGTTCTCCACATGAAAATCTGAGGATTCACAAGTCTAATCAATATTATATTATATGTATATAGTTTAATAACACATACATACTTACATACATGACACATTATACTACACACAGAGTACATTATACACACATTACATATTATTTTAACTACTTCATTCTACAAAGTTGTACCTATGTTTTTAAGTTACTCTCACTTAATCAAAAAGTATTTGTTAAAACATGTTACAGCAGTTAGTAGGACTATTTCTAAATCTTTGAGTATAAATAATCTTAATTACTTTAAAGCTTTACAGTGGATCCTATGAGTGATTCTTATATCTTCCATCATACATAACAATATAAAAGAATATATTTAGATACAACTTTTTTAAATGTATTTTTTATTAATAATTTTTTTTTTTTCTATGTGTTTTAACCTCTAAAAATTTAACTTCTTATACTTGAAACAAATAAGCAGGTGTGATTGGCTCACCTCCAAAGTGTCTCCTGTCCTCTTCCACATCCTCCTGCATCATTCAACCATGAAACAGAAGAGACTCTGGGCATAAAAACAAGCTTAAACCATCCCTCCACAACAGAGAGAGAAAAAACAACAGAATAAAAGCCGTTAAACAGGCTAATAACTGGAGTGAAAGGAGGAGAGCGCCTGACCCGCCGAGCTAATGAAACCCAAACAATGTGCATATTAAAATACATCTATTGTTAAATTCATAAAAGGTTTCCCAAGCCTATTTACACAAAATAAAATGATAATAAAGACTGGGTGGAGCACCATTCAAATCCTGTTCCAGTCATTAACTTTCCAAAGGAGGGTGGATCCATGGTCAGTTGTTAAAAGACTGAACCACAAACTCATTCAGCTTAATATGGAAAAGAGGCCCTTTCACACAAGTGTGTGTGCGGCAGGAGCACTGCAGAAGCACTGCAGCCTTTTATGGGATAACTCTTTTACTCAACACATGTTCACTTGTGTCTCGTTCATTGTTGTTGTTGCACGGTTGATTAAACGTGTACTGTGGCACTTTATGGTGCACCTGCTGTCTCCATGGAGATGTTATTGTGTGCATGAAATGTTTCACTGTATGGCATTAAAGTGGAACAGGTGGAGCAGGTGTCTCCAACCTGGAGCTCAGGAGCTCCCAGTATCTCCACCCCCTTTCCAAATAGACCACCACAGGAATTCTGAATTATACACATTGTGCTGAATGACTTAAATTTGAACTACATTTTTAATGTTTCATTTTTATGCACTCGTGAATGGATCTGTTTTTATCTTTTATAGTATCTAAGTGTTTCCTATCTGAGGCTTTCCTATGCTGCCAAACTGAGAAGCTCTTTGCATTTTCTTTGTGGTTGGTGACTCCTGAGCTCAAGGTTCTGTTGGAGGTAGGAGCTGTCAGTGTCACAGATGAAGCGTCAGATGAAGAGGATGTCGCTCTGTGATCACTGACTCAGGTTTTAAACTTGAATGTTGTTAAGGGTTTACTGTACAGAGTTACTGTTGTTACTGTACAGAGTTAAATGTTGTCTGTTGTCCTGACCTGCAGGGACCACACATGAGAAGTGACCACTGGACTAACTCTGGCATGTGCACACACAGTGTGTATACATACATACAGACTATATGTCTAGTATACATACATACATACATACATACATACATACATACATACTGTGTGTATATATACATACATACATACATACATACATACATACATACATACATACTGTGTGTATACATGTTATATCTGTAGCAGGACTGGTTCTCTCCAGCTGAATTCAGTTGGACAAAGTGAACTTTTCAGTGGGAAACCATGGAGCTGTAGGTGTATTTATATCAGGGTGTAGGTTTATTGGATGGGAGTTTGATTCTCTGTCTGTAGGTAGAGGTGCAGGATCTACAGTGAAGAGTCTGCTTCATCAGGACTATTGTACATGTGTTGTTGTATCGCTCACAGAAGGAACAGGATTTTTAGCTGTTTAAACAGCAGCAATTAAATAAATGCAAATTTAATGTTGTAATGTGGAAGACTGAAGGCAAAGTAATAACTTTGCCGTGGAAACAAGCAAGTGGCAGACAAGCAGCAGAAAGTTACACAGTGCACCTTTAAAGTAAAGTAAAGGTGTTGGTCTTAAGCCACTGTGACTATTTGAAGACATGGGAAACATGGTGAGTAGCAGTACTTCTCTACTGGCCACTCACCTGTACTCTGTATAAAACATTATGTCAGCAGCAGTTTCCCACATCACCTGATCATGTTTTATATGAATCAGTCATTCTGTCAGTAAAGTTTGATGAAGCGAGCTGGTGGACTCTGGTGGAGCTTGATGGAGCTGGTGGACTCTGGTGGAGCTTGATGGAGCTGGTGGACTCTGGTGGAGCTTGATGGAGCTGGTGGACTCTGGTGGAGCTTGATGGAGCTGGTGGACTCTGGTGGAGCTTGATGGAGCTGGTGGAGCAGAGTTTGTGCTGTGTCATGCGTGAATGGAAACCAATGTGACTATTGTCCAATTAAGAAAAGGCTTCATGTGGAAATGTGGTCAGCTACTCAGAGCTGGGACTTTCTGAACTGTGAGAGCCACGAAAACAATACAACTCAGGATTTCATTAGATTCATAAAAAATGAAACGTCTTTGATTCTCAGACTTTGGTGACTTACTTTTTATATTTAATGTATTCATTATGTTGTATCTACAGCTCATTTTCATTTCAAAATGTACAGCCTGTTTTTGTGCACCAGGCTCGTCTAATGTTGGTGTGACTGAATAGTGTGGAATTCACAATAGGACAATTGTACATGTATTAGTAAATGAATGAATCTATCACCTGCTTGTCTAGATGTCACTGGTTTATCTGATATGTTCCACTGTGGGGCATTAAACATAAGTATAACCATTTCTGTGGATAGATCACCTCGCTCACAGTACAAAAACATGTTTTTAAGGTATTTCTGAGTGGTAATGACGTGTAAATGACCTTAAAGCCTTATTGTGGAACAGTTTTATCCAATCAGTGACACTGTTAAATGAGAAATAAGTAGAAACAATACATGTGGGCGGAGCAAACAGTTCATTTTGAAACATTCTCCTCACTCACGGTTCAGTTTATCCTCCTGAGCCCATTCATTTTTGTCCTTTATAGTGAACATTGAGTTAATCAGTTGATCTTTTAAGTGTTTTGAGATCTTCCTCTTAATGGGGGGACTAGGTTTCTGTGCCTAAATAGGGCTGGGGGATTATAGGCGTACTACCATGTCCAGGATACAAAATGAACTCAGCCGGAGCGAGTTTGTAGCTGCAATATGATTACAAAAATTAAGAAATTAAAGGGGAGTCTAAAAAAAATTGAGGTGACTGTAGAAGTGAGTGTCCCCGGCGTCCATTACACAGGATGTTTCAAAATTATAAATAAACATAAAATGAACAAAATCTAAATACTAAGGTGTTCATTTACCTCCAAATATAGATATAGATATATATGTACAGTGTTGGGGAGTAACAGATTACATGTAATGGAGTTACGTAATTAGAGTACAAATTCTGAGTGAGTTTCAGTGAGTGGTAGTTGGATTACAGTTACTTTGTTGAACTAAATGGATTACACGGCGGTATTTTCCTGTTTTCACATTTTGAGCTATATCCTTTTTTTTTTTTTTCGGTAATTCCACTCATTCCCGGAAACTAAACCAGGTCTAAACTAGATCTCAACCAGGACTAAAACCAGGTCTAAAACCAGGACTAAAACCAGGTCTAAACCAGGACTAAAACAGGACTAAAAGCAGGTCTAAACTAGATCTAAAAAATATCTAAACCAGTTCTAAAACCAGGACTAAAACAGGACTAAAAGCAGTTCTAAACTAGATCTAAACGAGATCTAATCCAGGTCTAAATCAGGTCTAAAACCCACATCTAAACCAGGACTAAACCAGGACTAAAACAGGACTAAATCCTGCTGCATGGACGTGTCTCCTCGTCTTCTATCAATAATATTTTTTATACGGTTCAGTAAAGTCTGGGCTTTTTATTTTCTTTTAACAGACAAAACATCTTATGTCACGATGTCCGAGTCTTTGCTTCTCTACAGCAAATCAAGTAATCCAAAGTATTCAGATTATGTTACTCACTTTAAGTAAATTTAAAGGATTATGTTACAAACTACATTTTGGGGTATGTAATCTGTAATCTGTAGGGGAATACATTTTAAAAGTCACCTTCCCAACACTGTATATATAACAATTTTTTTTTTTCTTCGGGTCCCAGGAGTTTATGACTTGCATTAAAAGAACAGACAGACGAGTGTTAACATTTTCCACTTGTTTATTTGAGTTGATACAGTACAGAGGCTTTTTGTTGAGTAGAAATATCCCCAAATGTTTGAATTAAGACATTTTTTTTACAGTTTTGAGAAAATCTTACTGATTTCATAACACACGTGTCCTTACAATGAGATGATACCACTTTGTTCACAACAAGAATGGCATTTAGCGTTTTACAGTTTTTCTTACATATTGGCCAAAAGTTCTTATGCAACAATTTCAAAATGGCTTGATCACCAATAAATACACGTATAAAACACAATGTAATAGTACATTTCATTGTAAAAAAGATACCGAAGGCACAACCACAACTTCTACCTTGGCAGTCCAGAATCCCATTCAAAAACTCGCAGTAAAAGCCAATAATGAGCCTTACCCAAAATAACACTTAAATAACATCATAATACTACTACTTAATATTATTATTACTGTCATACCAAAATCCAGTCAAGTCTTCCTATGATTAGGCCTTATGCGAACAGATATGCACCAATAATTCCAGTTTGGGCAGATGTTTTTCTTTCCTTTCTGTCGGTGGAGCGCTCATGTCTTGGTACGAAGGTCATTGGACAAATTAAATATTGTTTTTAATCAGTCAGAGTTTAGCTTTGGAAATGTTACACTGACCTACATAGATAGAGACGTGACTCAGCAGCCTCAGAAGTGGGTAGTGAGGAGCTGGCGTGAAATTAAACAAATAGATCTGAAGTACAGATGGTTGTATTTTTAGTACATTACTTTTACACACTATGTTCTAGTTGTTCGGTTTCACAAGTTTTCTATTGTGACACATTAAGAAAAGGTAGAAATGTTTCCCTAACTGTCAAAAATAGCCCCAATTTGCTCATTTGTGTTTTGTCAAATCTAAAAAAATATATTTTAAGGCTCTGTTTCACTTTTCTGGCAGAGGTTCTGTTGAGAATGTTCCACAAACTTGTTATTGCAATGTGACAGAGAAGTTTAATGCCATACTGTGGAACATTCCAGGCAAAGTAACAGCATTTCTATTGAGCAAAACATGTGGGACGCCCTCCACCAAAAAGGTTACACAGTGCCTCTTTAACAGTTCCTTCCTTTGTACATTTACAGGTGAACAATGTTATTTTGAAGTAAGAGTATTTTGAAGTGCCAGCTCTACCCACTCCTGGCGTTTAACTGTTAACCAAGACAAGAGATGTACCAAAACAAAATTCATTTCGTCTGAGACTTCAAGCAAGGAAGTTCTTTTCTGCCATAACATAAAGCAATACGTTTCTTATATTTTGTAAAATCAAAAACAGAAGCATAATAGAACAAAATACTAACATAGTATAATTTTCTCACTGTAAATCCAGTTGACAATAAAATGCAATACAAAATAAAAATTGGCAATAAAATGCAAAGTTATAATACGTTTTTTTGGAACCCAGGACCTTTTCGAACACACGGAGGATTCCCATTGGTTCAAACATTCAACAGTATTCACTAGGGGGTCATTGGTTTTCTGTGTTATTTGGTATTTTTGATGATGTCACCGAGTCTTGTCCCATATTTCAACTCCTGATGAAATTTGTAACGCAAAAATGTCCGGGCCAAGACGCGGACACTGGAATGACCCTGCAAGCTGTACAAACAGCCTCTGGCATCTCGGGCTGGAGACAAAGTAAAACAATGTCCTACAGATAACGCTCAAATCATGTCGTTCTCTGCCCGGAGGGATTCTCAGGGGGTTTCAAACGGCGGGGAGCCTACAATAAGTCATGTGCACTATTTCTGAAACTTTATGTCCTGCTTTAGACTTGCTTTAGACCCAGTGTAGACTTAGATGGTGGTTTAGTTCATGTTAAGAGCTGCTTTTGCCAATTTCTAGTCCTGCTTTAAGTAATGGGTTGTCCATGTTTAGTACAAGTATATATAGAGCTGATTTAGTTGCAGTGTTGGGAGTAACATGTGATAAAAGTAACAAATTACTGTAATTCATTGCTTTTTGCTGTAACGCAGTAATGTTCAGCATTACAGAGAAAAAAGTGGTAATATTTGACTCGGTACAAATGTCAGTAACGCACGTTACAAAGCTTTTTTAACCTGGATTGAAGTGGTGAGTTTTTTGTTTCTCTTCATACAAATTCGCTAAAATCACCGCAATATCAGCAGCAGTGAAACGCCGGAGACGCACCCGTGTAGACCCTGATCGGGAGCGAAAGGACCGACGCAGAACGTCCATGGAGCTAAACACAGCTGAGGGGGTTCTCTCTGGGGCGGTCCTAGTTTCCAAGTTCTAGTCCAAGATTAGTCCTGGTTTGGTCCTGATTTAGTCTTGGTTTAGACCTGGTTTATACCTGGTTTAGACCTGGTTTAGTTCTGGTTCAGTTTTGGATTAGTCCTGGTTTAGTCCTGGTTCAGTCCACAGTTCAGTCCTGGTTTAGTCTTGGTTTAGACCTGGTTTTGTCCTGGTTCAGTCCTGGTTCAGTCCTGGTTCAGCTCTGGTTTAGACCTGGTTTAATCCTGGTTCAGTCCATATACGGCGCAAAAGTTCAGCATCTTCGCAGTTACTTTGTTCAGAGTAACTTAAAAGTACTGCAATAGTCGTAAGTCATAAATAACACATTACAGTTTTAAAGTAACTTGCCCAACAGTGTTTAGTTGTACTTTACAGCTAGTTTAACTATAACATCTGAAAACATGACAACAAAAGATACACTATTACTCAAAACAGTTTTTGGAATTGGCGTATTCCCACTTTAGATTTGGTAAAATTCTGCTTTAGGGCTTTTAGTTCTAGTTTAGTCTTGACTTGATATCGCTACATACTTTAAAGCTGGAACAATACAGGCTGCAAATAATTCTAATATTCTGCAACACTTTATTATTTTTGGATATATCGTACGCTATGTTCTCGTGGATGTTTCCCAATTCAAGTCTCAAAACTCCAAAACACTTCACTTCCTGATCAATTCTTTGGTAAAAAACAAAAACCTTCCGCCTTCCCTCATGTCACTTACTAAACTCTTACTACTCTACATTACGATTCTTTCAAAACGCTCACAAAGTTCCTTCTTATCTCTGCACAATCCATTGCGTCCTTCTATATTATTTACACACTGTGAACCTTCTACACGGCAAAGAAAAAGCAACGTAAGATAAAATAACTTGCATATTCTAGACGTTTTAAGCTCCTTTTGAATCATTTTAACCAGAACAATTTTCTAACGCTGTTTTCTCAATGTGTGCTCATGAATCTAGGTCAGCCAACTAAAAATACTTATTGAAATTGTGAATACCAAGTCAATTAATCTCATTTAGGTGCTTTCTTTGCAGTACTGCTAAAACTCTACTCTCTCTCTCTCTCACACTCTAATGAAAACAATAGCTGACTAATGGTGCTTGAATGGTATAATGGACTCACATACACAGCTGGAGGGCACAGCTACACGCACCAGCACCACCACCACCACCACCTGCACCTCAGTGATAAAATCTACACAGCAAGCCAGAGGAATGTGCCTGGTCATCAGCAGCACACTTTAAACCAGCAACCTCATGTGGCATTTCAGCAAAGGTGGTGCACGTTAAGTTACTAGACTAGAACACTTTTGCAAAACTGTGCAGCCTCTGAGCACAATGCAGTTTCAGTTTATATCTGCAGTGACGTTACTTTTTGGCTACTCTTCCCATGTCTATGCTACATATATTTTGGTTTAAAAAAAAAAAAGATTTGGACAGTTTATGTGGTTTATATGTTACAGTTTTAGTTTTAATTTCATTGCATCAAAACTGAAAATGGCAAATTGCTTCTATATACCATTTTTAAAAACACATATTCATGTGAACTACTTGACCTACTAAAGCAGATATTTTGGTTTCTCCTCCCCAATTTGGATCAAACATTAACTTATAAAAAACAAAAAAATGGCAAAGACCTTGTGTAACTTTGTCACCTATACCATTATTTTTTTTTTTTAAAACAAATATTCATTTGAAGTAACACTTGACCTACTAAAGCAAGTATTTTGGCTTCTCTTCTTCAACTTGGGTCAAGCGTTAACTTATGAAAATCAAAAAATGGCAAAGCACTTATGTTTGTCACCTATACCATTTTTTTTTAAACGAATATTAATTTGAAGTAACGTTTGACCTACTAAAGCAGATATTTTGGCTTCTCTTCTTAAATTTAGGTCAAACATTAACTATAAAAAACAAAAAATGGCAAAGTGCTTGTGTTTGTCGCTATACCATTTTTTAAAACGAATATTCATTTGACGTAACGTTTGACCTATTAAAGCAGATATTTTGGTTTCTCTTCCACAATTTGGGTCAAACATGAACTTATAAAAAACAAAAATGGCAAAGCGCTAGTGTTTGTCACCTATACCATTTTTAAAAAAACAAATACTCATTTAAACTAACGCTTGACCTACTAAAGGAAGTATTTTGGCTTCTCTTCCTCGCCTTGGGTCAAACATGAACTTATAAGACACAACATATCTTTGGCACGAATAAAAAGCCGATAAAATATCAATGGCGTTTGCGTTATCAGGTATCGCCTTGAAAACGTGCAAGGTTAAATGCCGGGAGCATTCCACGACTTTGAGAATGTGTCTGCGAGGTTATTAGTAGGCTACTCCTCTTAAAACATGTTCAAACCAAATAACTTTAACATGACAAAGTAAAAGTAGAGCAGAAAACTTAATGAGAACTGTTTAAACTTTGACCCCTGATGTGTAAAGCTATCGCTGTCCGCGCGCTAAAAGGTCCTGGGTTGGCTTCCACATTCATAAAACATAATCAAAAACACTGGGGGCGTCCTGGCTTCAGCTTGGAAATGACATACATAATTGAATTTGTATGAATAAAAAGGCACTTCCTATATATCCCCTTATATTTTACATAGGACTACACTTTTATAATGATACTAATATAGCCGCATGTTACATCTGCAGACTTAGTTATAGTTAAAATGAGAATATATAGAGAAAAGTTATTATATATGTCAATTCCAGCTTCCAGTAGCCTAAAAGCCAGTCGCCCTCCAGTTTAGCACTTAACCTAACAATTAAAAGCTACAAAACTTTAATAATAAATAATCAGCAAAAGTCAGATATTTTTGGAACAAGACCCTGGTTTTTGTTGAAGTAAAGATCACAAAAGCGTAATGTGTGTGTGCTCTTAGTGAGTTTTTTTTTAAGGTGCTTTTGTAAACTCAAGATTTTGGGCGGCGCACTACCAGTTGCTAAGTTTGTGGATCTAAACTTGCCTTCTTGCAGAAAATGTAAACATGGCGAAAACAGCAAAGTCTATGGGTGGGCCGAGCACGAGGAAGCGGTTTCCTCTCGCGTTCACAAAATCCTAAAAATCTGGTTTGTTCAAATGTGTGTTTCCATATTGTTTCCCGTCAATGGTTTTAAGAGGAACAATGCAACTTGTATCGATGTCTTTAGTTAATCTTGGAATTTGATGAGCTGTTGACTGATCTACAGTGTTGACATGCACAAAAACAATGCAACTTTGCTGGTTTCTCTGCTCTCTGGTTTTAATTTTTCATAAGACCACCAGCTAAACGTTGCAGTAAACCACAATTGTTAAAATTTCAAAGTTCAGCTCTTGGATTCCTTGGATGATTTTGTTGGCGAACTGGGAAAAGCTAGTGTGTGAGTAGATTTAAGGAGCAAAAAACGAACTTCAAAACACTTAAGCTGCACTGTTCCTCTTTATCCACATTTGGAAAACTTCCCAAAATAGGTGTATCCCAGTAACGCACTGGTCGTTAATGCCATTCTCTTAGTAAACACACATATGCCCATCATAATTCTATGTTATCTCTGCCACCCAGTCTTTATAATGTCTCTATGTGAGGTTGTTGCTGATGTCTAGGGCTTGCTGATAAACCTGAGTCATATCCTCCAGGTCTCCCAGCAAAGAGAAGCTGCCGTTGTCCCCTGGCGAGCCTTTGGTCTTGGCACTTCGGCTTATTTTGGGACCCTGTAGCGGTGGGGCGGCCTGGAAACCCTTAAAATTGGCGAGTTGGAGGAGGTTTTCGGCCGATACGCACGCTCTGATGTTGGGATGGCAGTGAGGGGTTGACGAATGCCACTCTGCCCCGCTAAGAGAGGTGGGGGACAGGGAGAGGACGCTATCCTCCCCTACGATACTGGAGGGCCGACTCTGGCTTCGCGACAATCCTGCGTCAGTTGAGCTCGCTTGATCGGCTAAAGCGCTGACCACCGCGGCCGCTCCCGATGGTAACCCGCTGTACGTCGAATACTTCCCGTTTCGCTTCAAGATCCCCTTCCTTCCCATTCGCTCTTTTTGGCGGAGATGTGGCCATTACGGACATACTGGCGCCTCCTAGCAGCTCAGAGGACTCGCTACGCTCTGGAGATGAGTAGTACCCTGATTCCCGTTGTTGGTTGTTCTTTAAAATGCCCTTCTTTGGCATTGAGGGCACCATTTTGGCAGGCGAGCCCCCTCCTAGTGTTGGTTCCTCGTCATCTTTGTCTGGACTTGAAACCTCGTCCCCTCCTTCGGCTTGTTGCGGCAGTGCGGTCTGACCCAAATCCACATCATCCAAGTTCACGCTTTGCTGCTCTTCGGTCACCCTCGTCTTCAGGATCCCCTTTGGCCTTTTAAGCCCCGGTTTATCCTCTGCTCCACCGTGGGACTGTCCCGTTTCTACATTCTCCTTCTTGGATTTCTTGGGGCGTTGGCGTAGGGGTATAGCGGGGGCGGGCTTGGTGGTGGCGCCCCTGGGTTCAGTGCGGTTTTGCCAGTCGATGAAGCGGGCGAGCATGGGTGAGCCTCCGTGATCTCGCTGGGTGTCGCAGTCACAGACGCTGTTCTTCCAGCCCCAGTTGACCCACCAGTGGTTAGCGATGTCCTCCACTGTGGCTCTGCGCTCAGGGTTCACCATCAGCATCCAGCGAATCAGCCCACGGGCATCTGAACACACACAAGACGGTACACGATATTCTACAAGTTTGTACTTCCATCATGCACTAGGCAACGTTTCTCGTGGAGAGTCTGCCAGCTGCTTTTTTTCCATGGAGATGTTATTGCTTAGTTTGGAATGTTACACAGAATGGCATTAAATTGATCTATCTCCATGGAGACAAGCAAAGGCAAGTTACAGGTTAGATCTGTGGAGAGCCAACCCCCCACACAGTAAGAGTATATGTTTTTGAAGGCAACTGTGAGCAATAAGAATGTCTGCAAATGGGATATATAGGTTTAATGCCATATTGTGAAACATTGCAGCCAAAGCACTAACATTTCCACAGAGAAAAACAGTTGTTGGACCATCCACTTTAACAGTTACAGCGCACCTTTAATGACAGCAGCGTCGATCGCACTCAGTTGTACAGAAAGGTTAAACTCTGCTTTACCTGAGGACTGGGTGGGCTCTTTGTACTCTCCGTTGCTGATCTGGCGAATGAGGTTCTTGTGGTCTCCTCCATCAAAAGGCATCGTCCCATAGACCAGAGTGTACAGCAGCACCCCCAGAGCCCAGCTGTCCACCTGGAGACATGAGAAGACACGGTTAAACCTTCCAGATCTAAAGGCAATTTTAGTACATTTGTCCTCGCCTGAATGATTTTCTTAATGTTGCTATAAAAACTCCCCCTTTTACCCCCTAATGTTATGCATCCTATTTTTCAGTACAATTTGCTGCTGTAGTTGTGTCATGTGGCTATAATAAAAGCTATAGGACCAGAAATACAAAAAATATTAAATAAAATAAAAATAAGCAATATAAAATTCACACTCAAACACACAGAAAACATGTATAAACAACTTTTTGGACATTAAAATATGCTTAATTTAGGGCCTTAGCTACAAAAGAGCAAAATATGAAGTCTGTAAGTAAACTCAAAATATACTTATTGCCCCAAAACAAAAAACAAACAAACAAACAAAAAAGTGCAATGGTCCCATGACTTTCCTGGTGTCAGTCGTGGAAACAGCTGGTGTCAGGTCCAGGACACAGAGCCACATCACTTCTACATTTCCATGATGTATATTACATTAGGATTTGTACATCTTGAGTGAAATTAACCTTTCAAATAAAAAGTACGCAGCAATTACGCAGACAAAGATGTGTAATTGTAAATTTATCTGAGAAATAACTGCACTTAGTGCAGCTTTTTCAGTTGTTACAAACACAGACCAAGCCCCCAGGTTCCAAAACAGTCGCCCATTCAAGTCAATGGGTCGAGCTCAATGGTGCATGATCCCAGATTCACCTTTAGCCCAGTGAGGTACTTCCGGTGGCTGTGGGCCGACCGAGCATGCTCTTTTCTCTTGCGGGCACATGCCAATGCACGCAACCCGGCTCATGTATCATGTGACCGATTTGACCAATCAGAGTGAGAGGAGCTAGAGCAGAGCAGAGCGGAGCCGGAGTTAACGATTATACAGTGTTTTTTTTAAGACAACTGAAGGATTTTAAACTTAGAAAAAGTTTATCATCTAAAAAGAGGTAAAAATCGCCAACAAATCTGACATTTTAGAAAGTTGTAGGTCCCTGTCAGATGAACATGAGCAGTTTGTGATTACATTGCCTCTATGAGAAAAATCTTGTCTCGGCCCATGGGATTTTTTCCGCTGAAGCTCCAGTGAGTCACTACGTCAACTGGAGGCAGATACAAACACCAACACCCTCCAGGTATTTTAATAGATCCATGGCACAGATGCTCAGAGCATCGCCCGTTTTGACTCACTACACTCTTTGGCAAAGTTTGGGCCAATCAAAATGGATGGAGTGCATGAGTTTGACGGAAAACAAAGTTCCTACTGGACACTCGTTTTCCCTACGTCATCACACAGTGCAAGTTAAGTTATGCACGATTATGTAAAACATGTCCGGCGGTCTGGAAGGGTTAAAATACTCACGTTTTCATGCTAGTTCAAGTTCAATAAGTCCAGCTGCATTACATAATACATGTTCTTGCTTTTGTTTTGTTTCTTTTTTCATTTTGCATTGTTTCATCCCTTTGCAAGTCACTCTGGTTTGCAGTGCAGGGAAAAGTACCCATGGAGTAAACTAAATACACTCTCACCAAACCACCACATTTCCATTGGAGTAAATGCTGACCAGTTCCCCTCAGCAGACGATCATTCACTCTTACACAACAACTGTTAACATTTCCCAAGAATTGATTGTACTTTAGTATGGATTTTATGTCAGATGCCCTCCCGCATACACAGGCACTGGGTCTTGCAGCGGACAACGTTACAAAAATAGAGCGGCAAAAACAACTTCAGCGCTCTTACATAAGCTTTATTACTGCTCTATCTCTGCCTCACTTCAGCCTGTTATGCGTTTGATAAGCTTTCGAGTTCAGGAATTAGTCACTGCCTTATGTTACCTTGACAACTAATGACAAATGACAGAAGTCTGGTGGGAAATCGCCTGTTTCCATACGAGCAGCAATCCTCTCTCCCTCTTTGCTCCTTCATGCAGAAACTAGGACTTTTCGACCACCAAACGAATGCAATGTGGCTTCCTAAGTAGGCTGTTGCATAAGAGGTGGTGTGTGTCTGGGCCCTGCGAGATAACCACAGGGGACAGTGTGGGAGTGGGCTAATGACTGGGTACAGGCCCCAGATCCCGGTCGAGATGACATTCAGTGATTAGCGGGTGCCCTTTAAATGTGCATGTGCAGATATGAGACAGGAGACGGCTGAAGGAATGCTGTTGCTATGCTATACTGCTAAACATACTTTAAAACTAATAGATTTAGACTACAAGGACTGTATACCAAGACAGGCAGAAGTAGTCTAATGGCAAAATAAGGAAGAGCATTTGAAACTTTTTGGAAAGCACAGAACTCTAACAACGCACGGGCTCTATCCTGCAATGGTTACAATATGTATTTATTTATTTATGGTCACCAAGCAAACCAGTTGGATAGTATTTTATGCAAGATGCCCTTCCATTGACAAGTGGATAATAAGGGTGAAGTTTCTTAGTGAAAGATACAATGACACAGCCTGATTCATCAGCCGGTTTCACTTCGTAGAAACCGTCTGGCCTCGCAGCATTAGAATTAGTTCACCCAACAGTAGGCGGGTACTTTTTTCATTTAACCAATCACTGTTATTTGGTCGTGACATATGTAATGCGCCAAATCCCATAGGAAGAAGGACAATAACGTCTTACCCTTTGATAAAATTCACCAAACATTCTCTTTGTTCCAGCTTTAAATCCTCGATCTTGGGAATTGTTGCCAAAACAGAGTGTCTGGCTCTTCACTGATTGGTCGGTGCGCGGTCTACAGCTTCCATGGTTCTTGTAAATTGTCTAGTGTATTCTGATTCCTGACCTAGTTGCTAGAGAGAAATGAAATTGAGCCTGGCTAAGAACGACACTGCTCTGTGTGAAAATTTTAACAGATTTGGGATTTTTCTTATGACTTTACTTATTACATTACTTATTTCCACAATATATGTTCAAAGACTAATGAGCTACCATCTCCACTTAAAACGTTTAAAAAAAAAAAATTCTACAAAATAAACTTACAGTCTTACAGTTAAGAAATACTTAATAGTAGTCCATCTCCAACTAGGTCCAAAAGAAGGACTAGAACTAGTGCCAAAAGTTGATACTGAAAATATCACATAGACACAAATATATTTCAAGAAAGTTTTCCAATGGTCTGGATTAGGAGTGTGCAAAAATATTGAAATATCGATATATTGTATTGTTTAATGTGATGATACAGTATCGATATCATGGACTGTTGTATCTATTTATCACCAACAGTAATTTTTTATATATTTTACTAAATAATTTTGTTACAGCAACAGTTTTGTTCAGAGGAAGGAAACTCGTTTATGCGACACTTTTGACATTTTCAGTTTTGATGATTAAAATATTTGTGTTTCATATGAACTTTAGACAAGAAGTAATTTAACAAAGACTTTTAGTGTCACATCCATGATATAGGCTTTTTTTTTTTATTGAACCATATTGAATTGATGCGAAATATATTGTATCAAACCAAAAGTGCACTGTATGGAGGTATGTATCGTATTGGCAACTTCTTAATCATACCCAGTCCTACTGCTCTGTGTGACATTTGAAACTGATTTATTTAAACAATATATGTTCAAAGACTAAAGAGCTACTCCACTTAAAACTTTTTTTTTTTCCCACAAATTAATCTTACAGTCAATGAAATACTTCAGAGTAGTCCATCTCAAACTTTTCAAATGAAGAGCAAATAGACTTTCCATGTACCACAAGGTTTAAACCAGGGACTAGCAGGTCCAAAACATGACTAGACCAGGTCCAAAACAGAACTAGACCAGGTCCAAAACAGAACTAGACCAGGTCCAAAACAGAACTAGACCAGGTCCAAAACAGAACTAGACCAGGTCCAAAACACGACTAGAACAGGTCCAAAACAGAACTAGACCAGGTCCAAAACACGACTAGAACAGGTCCAAAACAGAACTAGACCAGGTCCAAAACACGACTAGAACAGGTCCAAAACAGAACTAGACCAGGTCCAAAACAGAACTAGACCAGGTCCAAAACACGACTAGACCAGGTCCAAAACAGAACTAAAAGTTGAGTCAAAAGTTGATACTGAAAATATCACATAGACACAGATATTCCAGAAAGTTTTCCAACAGCCTGGATACAAATGTAGTAAAAGACGTCATGGTAATTAAAGGAACTACTTCCTATTGTTCATCATTGACCATGTACCACTGCCATGCACCCGCACCACAGTTTGAGAACCACCGCCTCAGAGCACTGCCTTGTATTTGATTAGTGAGACTGCATCGGAAGGGAAAATCAGATAGGAGCTCATTAGGGAGAGTGTACTTCCTCCTGGGTCCGTACTGAGAATACTGCAGCGTGTCCCCGTCCCTGTTCCCATGGGCCAGACTCCATTGTTTTGTCCCTTGTTCTATTTTCGTCGCAGATGTTTGCTGTAATTTTGCGGCCTCACCCAAACTCACTTCTGTAATTTTGATAGAGATCGGGATCTGGGCTGCTTCTCCTTTTAGCACGCGGGAGAAAATTACAGTGATTTATGCTAAATTGAATGCTTGGGATTTGAGTGTACAAAATCAGGCATTTCGCTGCGCAACTATGTTTTTGTGTCACTTGCGTTTTCTTTGGTGACTACGCCCAGAAGTTGGGGAAATACCGGAGAAGCAATGCCTTTTTGGGAAGATAGAGGAGTTTTTATTTTACCAAAACTATTCCGTTGGTTACTTGCGAAGACCTCAAGTACCATTATGTGGTTCTGGAGTTCATTCCTAAAGACTTAAAAGAAGCACAACTATCCTTGAGTAGTTTACTTCAAAGTTGCCAGGCATTTGAAGTAAGATATGTCATAAACTGCTCGGTTGTATAGTCACAAGAATGGACTCCCTTCAGCTAATCCCATCAAAGAAACCGAAATTAAACCTAAGATTAGACTAGAAAAAAAGTCCATCAGAGATTTTATGAATGGGCTATTATATAATACAGTAGTGATTTTCAAAGTTTTCACAACAAGGGTTAAGGTAATGACTGGAAAATATTTGGCTTTCCAAGAACTCGCTTCAATGGGATAAAAATAACGGAGAATAAATCAGCAAGATTTGTGCAAGGCTATTCCAGGACAACAAACACTAGGCAAACTAAAGATCTAAACCAGGACTTACAAACGGACTAAACTAGAACTAAACCAGGACTCAACAAAAGACTAAACTAGATCTAAACCAGGACTCAACAAAAGACTAAACTAGAACTAAACCAGGACTCAACAAAAGACTAAACTAGAACTAAACCAGGACTCAACAAAGAACTAAACTAGAACTAAACCAGGACTCAACAAAGGACTAAACTAGAACTAAACCAGGACTCAACAAAGAACTAAACTCGAACTAAACCAGGACTCAACAAAAGACTAAACTAGAACTAAACCAGGACTCAACAAAGGACTAAACTCGAACTAAACCAGGACTCAACAAAGACTAAACTAGATCTAAACCAGGACTCAACAAAGGACTAAACTAGAACTAAACCAGGACTCAACAAAAGACTAAACTAGATCTAAACCAGGACTCAACAAAAGACTAAACTAGAACTAAACCAGGACTCAACAAAAGACTAAACTAGAACTAAACCAGGACTCAACAAAAGACTAAACTAGATCTAAACCAGGACTCAACAAAGACTAAACTAGAACTAAACCAGGACTCAACAAAAGACTAAACTAGAACTAAACCAGGACTCAACAAAGGACTAAACTAGAACTAAACCAGGACTCAAACAAAGAACTAAACTTGAACTAAACAGGACTCAACAAAGACTAAACTAGATCTAAACCAGGACTCAACAAAGGACTAAACTCGAACTAAACCAGGACTCAACAAAGACTAAACTAGAACTAAACCAGGACTCAACAAAAGACTAAACTAGAACTAAACCAGGACTCAACAAAGAACTAAACTAGAACTAAACCAGGACTCAAAAAAGGATCTAAACCAGGACTCAATGAAGGACTAAACTAGATCTAAACCAGACTAAACTAGATTTAAACCAGGACTCAACAAAGGACTAAAGTAGATCTAAACCAGGACTCAACAAAAGAATAAATTAGATCTATACCAGGACTCAATGAAGGATTAAACTAGAACTAAACCAGGACTCAACAAATGACAAAACAAAACAAATGAACAGAAGTAAATCAGGATTCAATGAGGTGTTACCCAGGACGAAACTGGGACTAAACCAGAGACCTCAATTGGCATAATCCAGAACAAAATCTGGACCAAACCAGACCTACAAATGGGCCAAGTCGGGACTAAAAGGGAGGTAACTTAAATAACACAGCAGTGTTTAATAATCTTCTCTAAACATGTAACAAAACTTGATCGACCCCCATTGACCACACTATTGTAAGACGCCTGTGTACCGCTCATGTTCCCAGTACTGCAGTTTGAGAAGTACTTCCATATTGATTAGTATTCTGTAAAAGATTGTCACCTCTGGGCCTCGATACGGTCTTCCATTCACAATCTCAGGTGAGGCGTAGAGCGGGCTGCCACAGAACGTCTGCAGTAACTTGTCCTTATGGTAGAGGTTGGACAGCCCAAAATCAGCAATCTGGAAAAAAAGTGCATTTATTTATTGGTCCATGAAATGAAGGAGTCTGACATTTTGAGACAAGAGAGGAAGAGACGGCGAGACAGAAGAGGGACAGTGAATATACGGTACGGAGGAGATGTATTCTAAATCTTACCTTGATATTACAGTTTTCATCCAGTAGCACATTTTCCAGTTTCAGATCTCTGTGCACCACCCCATTCTGAAAACGATCATCATTGATTAGTCTTGGTTTAGACTTTATTTAGTCCAAAAAGTCTACTAAATTATGCAGTCTAGGGTAGGAGGGACTGGCTTGTCAGACAACTAGTTCAGTCCTGTTTTCAGCTTGATTTAGACCTGGTTTAGTCTTGGTTTAGTCTCTGGTTTAGTCTCTGGTTTAGACCTGGTTTAGTCCAGGTTTAGTCTTGGTTTAGTCCTGGTTTAGTCTCTGGTTTAGATGTGGTTTAGTCCTGGTTTAGACCTGGTTTAGTCCAGATTTAGTCTTGGTTTAGTCCTGGTTTAGTCCTGGTTTAGGCCTGGTTTAGTCTCTGGTTTAGTCCTGGTTTAGTCTTGTTTAGTCTCTGGTTTAGACCTGGTTTAGTCCTGGTTTAGTCCTGGTTTAGTCCTGGTTTAGTCCTGGTTTAATCTTTGTTTAGTCTCTGGTTTAGTCTTTGTTTAGTCTCTGGTTTAGTCTCTGGTTTAGTCCTGGTTTAGTCCTGGTTTAGTCTTTGTTTAGTCTCTGGTTTAGTCTCCGGTTTAGTCCTGGTTTAGTCTTTGTTTAGTCTCTGGTTTAGTCTTTGTTTAGTCCTGGTTTAGTCCTGGTTTAGCCTTGGTTCAGTGTCTGGTTTAGACCTGGTTTAGTCTTTGTTTAGTCTCTGGTTTAGATCTGGTTTAATCTCTGGTTTAGTCCTGGTCTGGTCCTGGTTCAGTCCTGGTTCAGTCCTGGTTTAGTCTTGGTTTAGTCCTGGTTTAGTCCTGGTTTAGTCTCTGGTTTAGACCTGGTTTAGACCTGGTTTAATCTTGGTCTAGTCTGGGTTTAGTCCTGGTTTCGGCCTGGTTTAGTCTCTGGTTTAGACCTGGTTTAGTTCCACATTCTGTTCTTGAATATTCGACTTTTAGTGAGCCCTCAGTCAGTTGTTGTCTCGTTCTGGGTTCGATCACATTTAGTCCTGGTTTTGTCCTGGTTCGGTCCAGTTTTGGTTTTGCTCTGTCTATTAACACATCATTCAAAAAATCAGCACCGTGTTGTAGACTGATTTATGATGCCACGAGTCGTACTAAACTCCCGTAGGAAATCACTGCAATCTGTTGATCCTATTTTAGTCCCGGTCTGTCTTGGTTCCCTGCGTGACATCTGGTGTAATCCTCCAGATTCATGCGTCATAAAGATGAGCCTGTAATTACTGTTTTAATGATTTATGTTCCACTAAATGTACACCAAACTCTGAGCCCAAGTCTTTCTCAAAGTGTGCTATGTCAAAACCTCCTCTTTTTCCTGCTTTTTTTAATTAGTTCAGAGTTAGTGCCGTTGAAGATGAGTTACAGACTGAGTTTAGGTCTTGCTTTAGTCCTGGTTTAGTCCTGGTTTAGTCCTGGTTTAGTCCTGGTTTAAGCTACTACTACTACTACTACTACTGCTACTACTACTACTACTACTACTACTACTACTACTACTACTACTACTACTACTACTACTAGTAGTCTTGGATTAGTCTGGGTTTAGTCCTGGTTTAGACCTTGTTTATTCTTGGTTTATTCCTGGTTTATTCTGGGTTTAGTCTTGGTTTAGTCCTGGTTTAGTCCTGGGTTTAGTCTAGGTTTAGTCCAGGTTTAGTCCAGGTTTAGTCCAGGTTTAGTCCAGGTTCAGTCCTAGTTTAGTCTGGGTTTAGTCCTGCTTTAGTCTGGGTTAGTCCTGGTTTAGTCTTGGTTTGGTACTGGTTTAGTCCTGGTTCAGTCCTGGGTTTAGTCCAGGTTTAGTTCTGGTTTAGTCCTGGGTTTAGTCCAGGTTTAGTCCAGGTTTAGTCCAGGTTTAGTCCAGGTTTAGTCCTAGTTTAGTCCTAGTTTAGTCCTGTTTTAGTCCTGTTTTAGTCTGGGTTAGTCCTGGTTTAGTCCTGGTTCAGTCCTGGGTTTAGTCCAGGTTTAGTTCTGGTTTAGTCAAGGTTTAGTAGTGGGTTTAGTCCAGGTTTAGTCCTGGGTTTAGTCCAGGTTTAGTCCAGGTTTAGTCCAGGTTTAGTCCTGGTTCAGTCCTGGTTCAGTCCTGGTTCAGTCCTAGTTTAGTCCTGTTTTAGTCCTGTTTTAGTCTGGGTTAGTCCTGGTTTAGTCCTGGTTTAGTCCTGGTTTAGTCCTGGTTTAGTCTTGCTTCAGTCCTGGTTTAGTCCTGCTTCAGTCCTGGTTTAGTCCTGGTTTAGTCTGGGTTAGTCTGGGTTAGTCCTGGTTTAGTCCTGGTTCAGTCCTGCTTTAGTCCTGCTTTAGTCCTGGTTCAGTCCTGCTTTAGTCCTTCATTTCTCACGTCACACGTTACAGTTCTGCTTTTCACTGCTTTAATCTTTAAAATGAAGAGAAAAATAATGACATTGTTTTAATGTGTTTGGAAATAAACCGGCAATTTCATTCATCTAGATTCTAATAAATAAAAAAGATTTGTACAGAAACAAAGTACTCATTTGGAGAAGACTCAATACTGGAAAAAGACAAACTGGAACTTGAGTCGTTTTGGATATCAGAACTAGTAACAAAAAGTGACGAAAATGAAAGTGCATTGTGAAAAGAAAAGAAAAGCAGAAAAGATTATTGACATGTGTTGTTGAAATGTGTTTCATGAGCAACAGAATTGAGTTTGAAATGTCAGTAGTTGCAAATATACGACACGACACATGATGCTTTTCGATGTGGTTGTGCTCTCGTGGGTGTGGGTGCGAGTGCGGCGCTGGGAGCGGGGTCTCTGTGTCGGGCTGGAGCCGTACACACACACACACACACACACACACACATCCGCACATGTGTTTGTGTCGGTGATTCACACAGCCCCACCCACACCACACTGTGATTGTAACTATGATTCATTTTGACTTTACTGTTTGGCCCCCCACCCTCACTCTCCCTCTCCTCCCGTCTCTCCCTCTCCATCTCTCTGCACCCTTCCCTCGCCGTCTCTCTCCCGACGCCTCCCTTTGACTTTTTCTATCTCCACCCTCTTTATCGCTCTCTCTGTAGACAGTATCACTCCTTCTCTCTCTCCCTCCATCTCTCTATCTCTGTATCTCTCTATGACATCAGGCCTTTCTCCAGCTGCTAAACTCCTGGAGCAGCACATTTGACCGGAGTGAACAGTTTTTTTTGTTTTTTGTTTTATTCCAGACGGTCGTGCGGCTCGTGACACTGATGATCTTCTAATGACACGAACGAGACTCTGTGGACGTGCTTCACAGATCCATGACTCTGTGCTCATGTGCTTCTGTCTGCGCTGGACGACTCACCGTGTTCACTACTTTTCTTGTTTACTACTACTACTCCTACTACTCCTGCTACTATTACTACTCCTGCTACTATTACTACTCATACTACTCCTACTACTACTCCTACTACTCCTATTACTACTACTACTACTCCTATTACTACTACTACTACTCCTGCTCCTACTAATACTATGACTACTACTACCACTCCTACTCCTATCTCCTATTACTCCTCCTCTTCCTCCTCCTACTCCTACTACTCCTGCTACTACAACAGCTACTACTACTACTACTACTACAACAACAACTACTACTACTACTACAACTACTAACTGCTAACTACTATCTACTACCTACTACTACCTACTACTACTATTACTACCTACTACTACTACTACTACTACTACTACAACAACTACTACTACTACTACAACTACTAACTGCTAACTACTATCTACTACCTACTACTACCTACTACTACTATTACTACCTACTACTACTACTACTACTACTCCTACTAACTACTACCTACTACTACCTACTACTACTACTACTACTCTTGGTTTGGTCTGATGTACTACAAATATAGGCTAGGCTACTACTACTACTACTACTACTACTACCACTACCACTACCAACTACCACTACCACTACTACTACTACCACTACCACTACTACTACTACTACTACTACTACCACTACTACACTACTACTACCTACTACTACTACTACTACTACTACTACTACTACTACTACTACTACTACTACTACTACTACTACTATTACTACTACTACTACTACTCCTACTCCTGCTACTCCTACTCCTACTCCTACTACTACTAGTACTAATAGTAGTCCTGGTTTGGTTTAGATCTCGTAAACTCCTTATTTAGTCCCTTTATTAGATAGTAGTGTAGTCTTGTGTACTCTTGGTTTAGTCCTGTGTACTCCTGGTTTAACCTTGGAGTAGTCTTGGTCTAGTCCTGTGTACTCCTGGTTTAACCTTGGAGTAGTCTTGGTCTAGTCCTGGTCTAGTCCGTGTGTAGTCCTGGTATAGTCCTGGATTATCCTTGGTATTTACTACATCCAGTTTAGTCCAGGTGTAGTCCTAAACTGATGTTATTTATACTTCTATTCCAGTTTTCTGCTTTTCAAGTATTGACCAATTTATTTTTCCAATATGCTGCTCGAAAACCCACATTTCAATTTTTTTCATTTTTTTTTTTCATTTCTAAATAAAACGTTTTGAGAACCTCTGGACTAAAATCTTCCCACATACTCGGCCTTGGTTTTCTAGTCCAGTGCATTCCTATGTAACACTAACCATGCCCCTCTAATAGAGCGGCCTATAGCGGCGGTGGATACGGCCGTCTTTACCCAGTCTGCTGTTCTTGGCACGGCCCGACGGGGAGGCATGTGTTTTTGAGTGAGACGAAACCCAGGCTCATTTAATTCAGGCTTAGACTCCGATTACGCTGCTCCCAACACGCACTGTATCAAACCGCTCCTATCTGTCGACATGGTGATAGATGTCCTGACATAGCCTCCAAGTGTTACCGGAGGGACGGAGGGATGGAGGAGGAGGAGGAGGAGGAGAGAGGGACAGACAGAGAGAGAGGGAGAGAGAGAAGAGGGTGCAGGAAAGAGAGGGATGGATAAAGAGAGAGAGAAAGGGGCACTCTAAAATGTCAACTTCAATTCTACACTTCATCAAGTTCCTTCAAAACTGACAAGACCGTTTTGGATGCTGTTTGGAGCTGCTGTGAGGGGCTGCTGCTGGAGTCCTGGTTCAGAGCTTGTTTAGTCCTGGTTTAGTCCTGGTTCAGTGCTAGTTCAATACTGGTTCAGTCCTACTTTAGTCCTGGTTGAGTCCTGGTTCAGCCCTGGGTCTTAGTTTAGTCATGGTTCAGTCCTGGTTCAGTCCTGGTTTAATCTTGGTTTATTCCTGCTTTAGTCCTGCTTTAGTCCTGGTTCAAGCCCCTGGTTGAGTCCTGGTTCAGTCCTGGCTCAGTCCTGCTTCAGTTCTGGTTTAGTCTTGGTTGAGTCCTGGTTGAGTCCTGGTGTAGTCCTAGTTCAGTCTTGGTTTAGTCCTGATTTAGTCCCGGTGTTGTCCTGGTTGAGTCCTGGTTGAGTCGTGGTTCATTCCTGGCTGAGTCCTGACTGAGTCTTAGTTTAGTCCTGGTTCAGTCCTGGTTTAATCTTGGTTTATTCCTGCTTTAGTCCTGGTTCAAGCCCCTGGCTGAGTCCTGGTTTAGTCCTGGCTCAGTCCTGCTTCAGTCCTGCTTCAGTCCTGGTTTAGTCATGGTTCAGTCCTGGTTTAATCTTGGTTTATTCCTGCTTTAGTCCTGCTTTAGTCCTGGTTCAAGCCCCTGGTTGAGTCCTGGCTCAGTCCTGTTTAGTTCCTGGTTAGTCCTGGCTTCAGTCCTGGTAGTTCAGTCCTGGTTCAGTCCTGGTTCAGTCCTGGTTCAGTCCTGGTTTAGTCTTGGTTTAGTCCTGGTCGAGTCTGGTCGAGTCCTGGTTCAATCCTGGTTTAGTCTTGGTTTAGTCCAGGTGTAGTCCTGGTTCAGTCCTGGTTTGAGTCCTGATTTAGTCCTGGTTTAGTCCCCGGTTGAGTCCTGGTTTAGTCCTGGTGTAGTCCTAGTTCAGTCCTGGTTGAATCCTATTTGAATCCTGCTTGAGTCCTGGTTCAGTCTTGCTTTAGTCCTGGTTTAATCTCGGTTTAGTCCTGCTTTAGTCCTGTTAGTCCTGCTTTAGTCCTGGTTGAGTCCTGCTTTAGTCCTGGTTGAGTCCTGGTTCAGTCCTGTTCTTACCTTGTGGCAGTGGTGCACAGCGGAGACGATTTGTCTGAAGAAGTGTCGCGTCTCTCTCTCGCTGAGGCGCCTCCTCTCGCTGATGTAGTCGTACAGCTCTCCTTTACTCGCGTACTCCATCACGATCACGATCTTGTCCTTGTTCTCAAACACTGCAACACAACAACACACGAGCTTTTATCAGATCTGCCGTACTTAACCATCGCCAGACTCTTCACACAGACAGACTTTTTAAACACTGACCGAAACAAAACACAGAAAAAACAAATCCAAATTTAGAGCAAAATACTTGGAACACAGACAATTACACAGCATGTTGTAAAAATATTTCTTAAGCAATATTTGCACAGGATTAGTATTACCTGTGGACCTTTGGTGAATTGTAATAACTGTGGAGGATTCCTGAGATCTTAACCCCGTGTGAATGTGCCATGTCTGTAATTTGTAAAGTAAAAATTACGACTCAAATGACCTACTATATTTAGCCAAACACAGACGTCCGGTGGTAATACTAGTCCAGGGTGAATCTGCGTCTCAGTGTTTGTTGTGGTAATTGCACCTTTTCTATCTCTTTCCGGCTTGAATATAGAGGCTGTGGTAGAAATTTTGATTAGCAGTTTTGAGCTTTTTAGGGGCAAATTCTAATACAGCCCCGTGTCGCACTATATGTAAACCGATCTGCAGAAACGCGAAGAGGCCCAAGAAGAGAGCGATTCTCTCAAGATGACGGCCGGGATGACATGTGGAGCAGAAAGCGGTAAGGAACATCTGAAATAATATAACTAACTGGACTATATCCTCCATATCGGGGGGCGGGGGCGATCTAGTGCCCGCGAGATCCCCGTCCAGTCCTGTACCAGTCCTGGTCTAGTTCTGGTCCAGTCCTGATCCAGTCCTGGATTAGACCTGGTTTAGTCCTGATCCAGTCCTGGTTTAGACCTGGTCTAGTCCCGATCCAGTCCTGGTTTAGACCTGGTTTAGTCCCGATCCAGTCCTGGTTTGGACCTGGTTTAGTCCTGGTTCAGTCCTGGTTTAGACCTGGTTTAGTCCTGATCCAGTCCTGGTTTAGACCTTAGTTTAGTCCTGATCCAGTCCTGGTCTTGTCCTGGTCCAGTCCTGATCCAGTCCTGGTTTAGACCTGGTCTAGTCCTGATCCAGTCCTGGTTTGGACCTGGTTTAGTCTTGGTTCAGTCCTGGTTTAGACTTAGTTTAGTCCTGATCTGGTCCTGGTCTAGTCCTGTACCAGTCCTGGTCTAGTCCTGCTCTAGTCCTGGTCTAGTCCTGGTCTAGTCCTGGTCTAGTCCTGTACCAGTCCTGTACCAGTCCCGGTCCAGTCCTGATCCAGTCCTGATCCAGTCCTGCTCTAGTCCTGGTTTAGACCTGGTTCAGTCCTGGTTAAGACCTGGTTTAGTCCTGATCCAGTCCTGATCCAGTCCTGGTCTAGTCCTGGTCTAGTCCTGATCCAGTCTTGGTTTAGACCTGGTCTAGTCCTGTACCAGTAATGCTTTAGACCTGGTTCAGTCCTGGTTCAGTCCTGGTTTAGACCTGGTTTAGACCTGATCCAGTCCTGATCCAGTCCTGATCCAGTCCTGGTCTAGTCCTGGTGCAGTCGTCTTTATACTAACCGCCCTTCCTATTTTTAGCGCTGATATTAGGATGTATCCGTGGAGTTCCCAGGTTGTACTTGGGCTTTAGAGTACATTATATTCCACTATGCTAGTCACACATCAAAGTTCAAACATTAAAAAAAAAGTTTATTGTCAATTCTTTATACAAAACATATGAAGAATCGAAATTGTGTTTGTCACTCCCCAGTGTATAAATAAATAATAATAAATGGAAAAGTCACAGTGTTTTGTGTGACATCCACGGTGTATGGGAATGGGCGGACATATTTCTTGTTGTTCTCGATGTTCATATCACACATGTCTGTGATTATGTAAAGGTCTCCTCGAGCCATACCCCCCCCCCCCCCCCCCCAAGTCCCCTTTAAAGATCTCCAACAAATTCCACAGAGGTGTACATTACTGCACATCTTAAAAAGCTTACATCACCCTCGCCCCACCTCATGTGTCTGCTCTCTCCACAACACTGAGACGAGGGGCTGAGAAATCTGACAAGATCTAACCTCGAGAGAGACCAGACGAGAGAGAGAGAGACAGAGAGAGACGAGTGAGAGAGAGACGAGAGAGAGAGAGAGAGTAGAGAGAGAGAGAGAGAGAGAGAGAGAGAGAGAGAGAGAGAGAGAGAGAGAGACAGAGAGAGAGAGAGAGACGAGAGAGAGAGAGAGAGAGAGAGAGAGAGAGTAGAGAGAGATTAGAGGAGAGAGAGAGTAGAGAGAGAAGAGAGAGAGAGAAGAGAGGAGAACAGAGAGAGACAGGAGAAATACAGTAAAGAGAGGAGAAAGAGAGGACAGAGAGGAGACTGGGGAGAGAGAGAAAGAGAGAGAGAAAGAGGGAGAGAAAGAGAGTAGAGAGAGAGTAGAGAGAGAGGAGAGAGACAGAAGAGAGAGAGGAGAGAGAGAGACAGAGGAGAGAGGAGAATAGAGAGAGAGACAGGAGAAAGACAGGAAAGAGAGGACAGAGAGAGAGAGAGAGGAGAGGAGAAAGAGAGAAGAGAGAGGAGAGAGAGGAGAGAGGAGGGAGAGAGAGCAGAGAGAATAGAAAGAGGAGAGATGAGAGAGTAGAGAAGACAGAGTATACAGAGAGGAGAGGAGACAGAGAGTAGAGAAAGCAGAGAGATAGAGGAGAGAGAAAGCAGCGAGAGGAGAGTGAGAGAGGAAAGAGAAGAGCTAGAGGAGAGAGGAGAGAGAGGATGACCCGTGTCGCCCTTGTGCGGTCAGGTAATGGCTTTAACACCTTGTAGAGAAATGTGTTTAGCAAAGCACTCAGAGCCTGAGCCTGCTGTAAAGAAACACTGCACTTATGGGAAATCCTCTGTGCACCAGTCTGCCATGAATGCACAGGAGATCCTCTACTCTGTACGGAAGAAGATCAGGAAGGCTGCAGAAAGAAATGATGATAATAATATAGATTGGAGATGCACAGATTCATTCCTGGTATCAGATATCAATTCAGTCGATATCCTGGTTGGGCATATAAATAAAAATGATAAATATCTGAAGTAGGGGTGGGCGATATATCGATATTTTAAATATATATATTGTTCGCTCGTGTCTCCTTCACTCCTCACTACCGTCGTGAACACCGAAAGTTGGTGCCAGTGAAACGCTTCAAGCACCACGAACCTTTTCCACCATTTACAGACAAAACCACCAGCAGCACATCCTCATATTCCACCGAGTCACGTCCTTTAGCCTGAAACAAACTAAACGAGCTGAGCTGCATGAGAAGTGCTGTTTATGCAAATGAGCCATGCGCTTAAGTTTCGTTTCTGTAAAATGTAAACACACGTGCGCAAAACTGCATTAAACACATTATAATGTCAAACAGGCTGATGTGGCTCTAGAGTCATTATGCTTTATATATTGTAAAGTTTATTTATGCAGAAGATTTTAATGAATAATCTGTTGCAGTGTAACTTGTACAATTGTGTTTGGAAACGTTGGGTTTGATCTGCAGTGGATTGTGGGATTAAACCTCAGAGCTTCTTATGCTGGTGAGGAACATGGATCTGTTAAAATAAGGAACATCCTGAACTTCTTCTGCTAAATGAGCTCATGGTTCTGGTTCTGGTCTGGATAACAGAGATAATGCAAAGATGAGCTTGTGTTGAGTTGTTTTATTTATTTTTATCCTCTTAAATGTTCCTATATGAACTGCCGAACTCTTACACTTCAATTTAAAAAAAAAAAAAAAGAACTTGTGGAATTTGGCAGATTTGTTTTTGCAGTTTTCAGTTTTAGGGGGTTATTTTTTTCTTGAACATATATCGAGATATATATCGTATATCGACATATAGAAGAATATATCGAGATATATTTTGTGATCCATATCGCTCAGCTCTAATCTGAAGTGAAAAGGCTGGATCGGTGCATCTCTAGCTATGGAATTTGATCCATCGTCCAAGAGCTCTGTGATATTGTTTTTTTTCTGGCATATTCCACAGTATGGCATTAAAATCATAGACCCAAGAAGCTGATGCCACCAGGCCAAGTAACAGGTCAGATCTATGGAGAGGCACACCCACTCACAGTAACAGTACAAGTATTTTTTACACCAACAATAACACGTGTAATAGAATAAATGTAAGATAAATACAGGTAGAGTTATTGTGTTTACATCAGGCAAAACAATAACGTCTCCATGGGGATGAGCAGGTCCCACACCCTCCACCTGAAAAGTTACATAGTGCTTCTTTATCACCATAATACACCAGACTTGGCCAAATCCAAACAGGTTATCCAAGTCCTCAGAGTGAAATGACATCATCGAAGTTATGTCATGTGTTGTACCCGTGTTCCCACAGCACCGGGTCACTGGGGGTCAGCTCCTCCGCTGTCTGCACCCTTCACTGGGCACCTTCCTCCTGTGTCCCGTCCCTCCTCTTTCCTGAGCCCACCCCCCGCGGCCTTTTAAAGATTTAATCCTTTTTACGAAAACACACAGTCGCTGAGTGAAGCTCATTCTCCATTATTGTGACTGCTGGGAAATCACAGGCAGGACAAGCAAAACACACAGGCCTTTCTAGTTGCACCTAAAATAACAAAACACGATTTTTTTTGGCTTAATCTTTACAAACTTGAAAAGGGAACGCAGACATTTATTCTGCTGCAAGTGACCTGTCAATATGTGCTCAAATCTAAATCAAGTCTAAATGTATTCAACTGGTGGCTCTACCTCATCGCCATCAACTACTGCTTTCCCTGGAATGTTTCACAGTAGGGCATTAACCTCATCTAGCTCCATGGAGATAAACACGTGATGACACAAGGCTACGTTAAGTCAGATGTCTGAGGATGTGACCGCGCTCACAGTTACAATGCATTTTCATGGTATGTTTGAGCAATATAAATGGGACAATAACATCTCCATGGAGACAAGAAGGTGAAAGAACTTCCACCAGAAAAGTTACGTAATGCACCTTTAAGATTGACGTTTATATTAATGACTACATCTCCATACCCACACATATACTGTTGTGTTTTGCTATAGGGCCACTTCTCGTGTTCCCCACAGTCCTCTGAGCTCCG